ACTTCTTAAAACAAGAAAAAAAAATCCAGGCTAACAAAATTAATAACAACACATCTTGCTCTTTATATCAGTCCCAAAACAAGATCAAAACAGCTTTTGGCTGGATGTAAGACATGGACAGTTTTTGCAGTGTGATCTTTAACTYGGGTATCGGTTGAACTTTGATTTTAAAATTCTGTTGTGCTGTTTTTTGTTTGTTGTTTTTGGCCTTATTATGTGATTGCTGATATTCAGTATTACTGTATATTATTTTCTAGGACCCATTGTTTTTGCACTCCAAATACTTCTGCCTACTTTGTGCAATTTTACCTTCACATGCCTTTTTGCTATCCTGATCAATTAGATGCTATTTTCATCTTGTTAGCTAGCCTTTTGCTACTTTTGTCATCTACCTAGCCTTTTGCTACTTATAGCATCCAGCACACCTTTTCTACATTTAGTTTCTAACTGGCTTTTTGGTCCTTTTTATCTTTTAGCTCATCTAGCTAAAAAGTTGGCTTTTAGATAGCATTTTACTACCTTTTTTAAAGCCTTTTTTCATTTAACTTTTAGCATTTTTTACATTTTAGATAACCTTTTGCTACTTTGATCTTTGTTAGCTTTTTGCTACATTTAGCTTTAAGCCATATTTTTGCTACTTTAACTTCTAATGGGACTTCTGCTACCTTTTGTCTTTTATGTAACTTTTTGGTTAGCTTTTGTTTTACAGCTAGCTTTTACTGCATTTATATTTTAGCTGGTGTTTTTCTACTTTTATATTTCATCTAACAACTCATTTTCTTCAGCAGTCATTCAACATTCACACTATTGTCACAGAAAAAATAACAACAATTTTTCCAGTTCATGACGTGTAGTATTTCATCCCACTGCGTATAATCATAAGGATGTGAACTTGAAACTTAGGAAGTTTATAAAATAAACAAACCAACAAAAATGACTAAACTACCATTTAATAATGAATTCTTTGGGTTAATAGACTTTCATTATTTTAAATTTGAMAGAAAATGTTGGAATAGTTGTGATATTTTTACTCCCACGTTTATTACTCCTACATTTTATTACTTTCAACTAATTTAGGAATAATTTTAAGACTAAAGTTATTTAATTTAATTTATTTAAGACTAAAACTAAAAGACTGTGGTTTCAGTCTATTCTAACAGTGTTTTCCTCTTGCAGTGGTCCAGGATGCTGCCAGTAAAAAGAGCAACAATCTCCTGCTGGACACGTCAGATCTGGCCATCAGTCAGTACAGCCTGCTGACTCACACGCCTCCTCTGTCAGCCCCCGACAGCCCAGCTGCTCAGCCTCGACCCTCCTCTTCCTCAWGGGTGCCCAGTGATGAGCAAGATACTGCTCCTGTGGTCGACGAGGAAAGCCAAACACCTGATGGTTCACCTCAGAATGACGCAAAACCTCAAGATGAAGCCAAGTCTGAACCTTCTCAGACCTCTGAGCCGAGCTCAGTTCTTCTGTCTCCTGTGATTATTGTGACTCAGCAGTTTGAAAATACAGAAACCAGTGAAGAAGAGAAAGTTGGAGGTGATGATCAACCAGCAGCAGCAGCTGACCCAGAGGCAGCTGCAACTCAGGAGGTTAATGTGACTGACTCACAGCCTGACCCTGGATCCACGACACAGGACTCTCTTGACCCTGGATCCATGACCCAGGACTCTCCTGCTCCAGGATCCACAACCATAGATGCTCCTGATCCAGAATCCACAACCATAGATGCTCCTGATCCAGGATCCACAACCGTAGATGCTCCTGATCCAGAATCCACAACCGTAGATGCTCCTAATCCAGAATCCCCAACCGTAGATGCTCCTGATCCAGAATCCCCAACCGTAGATGCTCCTGATCCAGAATCCCCAACCGTAGATGCTCCTGATCCAGAATCCACAACCGTAGATGCTCCTGATCCAGAATCCACAACCGTAGATGCTCCTGATCAAAGGTCTAAAATCCCAGACTCTCCTGACCCAGAATCTACTACCCCAGGCACTCCTGATCCAGGTCCTATGGTTTCAGTCCAGTTCAACGTTGAAGCTAAATGTTCTGAAAGTGCTGATTCTACATCTGAAAACTCAACCAAACCTGACTCCTCAACCTCAGATCCAGAGTCTGAGAATCCTCCTCCTCCTCCACCAGGCTCACCTGGGTCAGACTGTCCAGTCAAAATCAGTCTTGGGTCACTAAGTGAAGCAATTGCCCCATGCTCCATGGAGYCCGCTGGGGTTCAGGTCCAGCAGAACACAGACAGAGCCGTCTACCTGTCGGGACAAATCAAGGAAAACTGGGAGAGAGCAAAGGAGGGAAAACAGGAAGAATCAGCAGAGAAAGAGGAAACCACAGAGAGCAGAGAGGAAGATGGAGGGCCAGCAGAGAGCTGCACATCATGTGCAACACCAGGAGAGAGCGCCGTCATCTCAACCACAGAACCAAGAGGGAGCGAGGACAGGCTGGGTGACGAGATGGGAGCTGAGAAGCAGAAAGACGACGAGGTGGAGGCAGCAGACGGTCAAGATCACACAGAGGATCCTGGGAACAAAGAGGTTCTTCAAAGCCCTGAGCCAGCTGAGTCAGAGCTAGAGTCTGCTGAGGAGATCCCTCTGGACAGTGTGGCGATCATCAGAGAACTTGTGACTGAGATCCATGAAGTGGAGACGATAATCACCCCCTGTTCCACCAGCAGCCCACCCTGACTTTACAGATGGATCCACTAAACCCATCAGTGTTACAAAAACATCCCAGCAGATTATTACAGAGCAAGGAGGAAAAGACCAGTTTAATATTTCAGTAACAAAAATAATATTCTGTAATACTTTTCAATTTTTCATAATTTCAATTGTTTTCACTTTTTCTAAATAAACTGATTAAATTGCTAGATAAAAATGTTAAATTTGTTTAGTTTCTGATGAAAACACAACGCAGATTTATCGCCATTTGGCACAGGTGCTGCACCGAGAAAAATTTTGGAAAAGTTTGACAAATAAAATGTTTTCATTGAGCATTTGAATGACCTGGTTTTCTATCAAATCTTGAAGATTCCACATTTTAAATGTTAACTGGATAATAAACTTGAGCTGATGGTGAAAACTGCCCAGCAGAATTAGTCAAACGACTCTGAACATTCTCAAAGAACTTCCTGAACTAAGATCCGAGTGCCACCGGGTGTCCTAAGTTCCAGGATAAAACTGAACAAATTTTAAAAATCAAATTATTTCAGCCAGTAAGAATCCAAAAATATTATGGGAAACTATTAGGTCAGTGACAGGTGAAAGTAACAATAAAACATTTAATAACAATTCACAAATCTCAGTAAATGGACTTCTTGTTTCTGATCATGAAAAAATTGCTAACTTATTAAATGAATATTTTATTTCTTCAGTAA